TGGTACGAGTTGGTTAGTCTACAAACGTCGCCTAAAGTAATTGATTTTACCCGGCAGAACGACAGGAGGAAACTCCGCTTTTCAGTCGTCTTCGGCAGTCGTTTTTTGACAAACAATGACCTTTCAGAGGTCAAATTGCTGTCAAGAATATGAATTGGCTGCTTCGCAGCAATTACAGTTTGTGCAGTTATAACTGTGTTGCCTACATTCCATTATTGTCTATCTCCCCCCAGTCTTTGACAAGATATGTGACAAAGACTCACAAAGTCATATTATAGTCCTTATGCCAGACAGGCGGTTTTCGAACACTGTCGGAACGTCTAACGTTAGTAGGTGGGATGGTGCGAGGCGGTGGCGAATGTGGTGACAATGGTGGTATAGTCGCTGGTAGTGTCTGCATCACTGGAGGACGTACTACAGTAAGTGCTGTCGCTGGTTGAGCGACGTGACTGATGTCTGCGCCGTTAGGTGGCTCATGCTGCTGGTGTACGTCGATGGTAGGTTGCTGTTGTGGAGTGGACGGCTTAGGTGGTGTTGGTGGTTGGGTCGAACGTTCCCCGGGGTGTCGGGCGAGTGAAAACATGATGGCGCAAGTCACTGTCGATGGTGAGGCGGCGTGGTGGCGGAACCACGGGCTCGTATTTGCAGAGGAATTTTCTGTTACGCACTGTAACCCTGCCAGAACCATCAACCTTCACAGCGTATTGGTCAAACTGACGTACCTCAATTATGGATCCAGTCTTATCCCATTTTCTAGGGTTGGGGCAAATTTGATTTTGGATACGAACCATGTCGCCGACTACAAGTGGTGGTAAACGCTTAGTGTGTTCTGACCAATGTTCTGTGGCGCGCATGTGTCTGTTGCGGAGGGCTTCTTCTCTTTTTTCGAGCGTGTTGCTCCATGTAGCATGGGGCTTGTATTTACCTGGCAAGACTGGGATAAAATCTCTAATCGGCCATCCAAAAACGCAGAAGGCAGGGGAAAGTTTAGTGTCCGTATCAGGTGTGTTGTGGTACTGTAACATGGCCTGTTGGAAGGCATTGGTATCGAGTTCGCCATTGGTATCAAGTTCGCCATTTTGGTGTTGTTTGTGATAAGTCTTTTGACAGACTTCACGCCAATCTCTGCTCGGCAATTGGAATGTGGGAACGCTACTGAAGAGAGGGGGTGGTGTACGCCCCAATCCTGCAGGAATGCACGAGTGGCAGTAGATGTAAATTCTGGGCCGCCATCGGATGAAAGTTCGTCACATATGCCATATGTTACAAAAACACGGCGCAGGCTGGTGATGAGACCGTTGGAGCCCTCCGATGTTTTCTCTACAATTGGCCTGTTAGAGTATCGATCGACAACAACTAGGTAGGTGACGCCTTTATAGTGAAAGTAGTCTGCACATATGCATTGAAATGGGTAAGCAGGAGACAACGGAGGATATGGCGGAGCACTGGGTTGTGATGGCGCCATACGATTGCAGTGATTGCATCTGGTTCGAAGGGCAGTGATGGCAGGGGTGATACCAAGCCAGAATACAGATGTCTCTGCTCTTGCTACCATTGATGATACACCTTGGTGCTCGAGCTGCATGGAGTGCATTTAGTACGTCCTGTCGGAGGGATGGTGGTATCACGATACGTCATTTGTAGAGTATTACGCCATCCATGTACATGTCATGCCGGAATTGGTGGTACTCTCGAAGTGAAGGTGGAAGTTCTTTTCGCAAATCAGGTATGCCAGATTCAATAATAGATACGAGCATATGCATGTGCTGGTCACTACTTATTGCGACCTTTACTCGGTCCCAAGTAATACACTGTGGGCCTAGTGTGCTTAGATTAGTGGTGGCATCGATTCGTATCATGTCGTTGAGGTCCTCGCCAGTATTTCCTGTGGGGTAATCCTCAGCACGAATGCCGGCTAAGAGCGAGTGGCCGATGTCGAAATGTGGCGAGGAATTGTGATGGGTGCAATCATCAGAGATGGTGAGGACATCGTCTTGGAGGATCATCTGAGGGGGATAGCGATCGCCAGTGGGTTATCGGGATACAGTGTCAGCAGCACGATGTTTGACACCGGGTATGTGAATGATGCGGAACCGGCATCGGAGCGTCTTCTCCTTGAGGTTCCTTAGTCTGGCGTTTGGGATGTCCTCCAGGGTTCTATCACCGAGTATCTTGAGTAGGGGTTTGTGGTCCACAGCGATTGTCAGATCATTGCAGCCAAGAACGATCTTTCGGCGCCCGCCTTCGGGGTCAAGTCGGCGTCTGCAAGTTTATTATGAAGTGCCCAGGCTGCACTGCAGACGTGAATTACACCGAATCAATCTTACGTGACGTGCTCCACAATACCACAATATTCAACTTGATCTACTTGGAGACAAGAACCAGAACATGACACACACTATGTCAGCTGGCATAAGCTATGCACGTCTGTAAAAGCTTAGGAATTGTTCTTTCCGCCAAAATCTATTGCGGACGTAATATGCCTAAGTGTGCTGAGCACAGCAAAGTAAATTTCAGGGGACTGATTTTGGCCATAGATGTGACTACATTTGGCAAGTAATTATGAGGCCAAAATCAGTCCGCCGGACCGATTTTTGCCCCGGACCAAATTTTTCCTGACACCCCTACCTAGCTAGGCCCGCTATAAGCAGCCTAGCGCGCTATGTCTCCTTAAATTAGTTACACGACCCTATAGGCCTTGGCCTGGACCCTACCTTTTACTAGGACAGCCTAGGTTTAGAGAGCCAATCTTGTCAAGTACGTTACGTACAGTAAGATACTCGTGATGGCAGTAAAGAGAAGAGGTCTGTATATCATCGGTGGCCACTGGGATGGTTCTCTTTCCAAACTTAATCATCCATCCATCCATGCCATGGCCCCCACCAACAAGAAGCTTTTGTTACTCGGTTTATCCCGATCAAATTGGAAAGTATTTTTCAATAAATCACTATATCGACATATGGTTACTACTACTAGGCCTACAATGCAAATGTTATCATGTATACTAACCAATTAACATACCTACCAAGTCTCCCGCATTTGGCGGGAGACTCCCGCTTTTCGCCCTAACCTCCAGCTCTCCCGCCACTAGCCTAAAATCTCCAGCTTTTCTAATAATCTCAAGATTTTTTATAAAAACCCACAATTTAATACAAAAATATCCAAAACGTGACAATTCTGTAGTTTTATAAGACATATAAAATCTACGAAAGTTCTATCACTTCGCGAAAATACATGCCGTTCCGATAGTAAACAATGTATTCGTGTAAAATTAACACTGGTGGCGCTGTACACATTACATCATTTCTATTTTAAAGAAAGCTAAGGGTGCAACTTGGGCATACAACAAGTTACATTCATCAAAAGAGAGCAAATGATGCTTCAGCCTCTCTCTTTTACACAGATCTCCTTTTCTGTTTAACTTGTTTTACCAAAAGAATTGTTTGTCAAATGTAAAACGTGTATTTGAGTATTTTGAAAATTTTGTTGAAAAAAATAAATAAAGTTAAGAGTTTTAACACTGAAATAAAGCTATAGAATTTTATTTTTCAAAAAATGTTAGTATATATTACCCTATTTTTAAGATTTAATTTGAGCACTAGAGATCTGCTCAGAGTGCACCAGAGAGCATCTAGGCCTAAAAATTTCCGGGGCCCTAGGCGGGCCGCGATTTTTTTTTCCGTACGAAACATTTGCATGAAACTTCACTCGGGCCATCTCGGAT